TAAACCTCTGTCTATCCACACAGCATAAGGGCCAAGTCCTTCTGCAATAAAATTCTCTTCACTTGCATCCACACAATACCACTTGACAAAGGCTGACTGGAGAACTGCTCCGTTTTATTATGACATTTAAGAGTGCAGTATGAAATTTATTTTGTATTGGAATGAAAAATAAAATTAAGTCTTTCTATCCTTTTAACCATTCAGCATGGCTGCCAAGGCTGTTTCTAGTGTCAAACCCTCTCATGAAAACAATGACACCAGATAAGTTTTGGCACCTACGTTGTTCCATTTTACACCACTTTCTAAAATTATTTTTGTTCAACTGGAATGAAAACAAAATCTTTCTAACATGCCTTAAGAATAGAATTCTATTGACATACATATATCGAGTGAAGTTCGATTTTGATAGGGCTATCTTTACTTTTGAGAAAGCCTAATCTTGACCACAACCTTTGTTATGGTGTTGTGCCAAAATCTATACACTTACACAAAAATAGGAAAGCTTTGATTATATGTTTCCACAAGAAATAAAAAGGCTTTCTTAAAAACACTCCTGACTAACATTATGTTTGAAACCATTTTCTTAAGTGCCCCATATCCTGGCTACTACTGGGTTTGCTCTTCTGCCAGCGGCAGACAATTTTTCTGAGCTTGTACTTGGGTGAAAATATTCCTTCCCATAAGTGTTATGTCTCTGACATTAAAAGTCCCCTTTCATCAAGCTAAACCAAACATTTTTGATTTTTTTTACCCTAGGAGTTTATTATAATGAACACAAATAAATGCATACTCCATATCCCTAGTGCTAACCCCCTTATTCCTTTTTCTGAAGATATTGTTAGACACAATGTTGAGAGTCTAAAAAAAGTGCATAGAAAATAGAATGATATAAGGTAATAGAAAGGTATAAGGTATATAAGACCTACTGAAGAGAGGATATGAAAGATATTTAGAAAGAAAACATCTATTCTTAACTTCTTAAAAAATTAAATTCAGGCCATTGGGGTGAGTAATAGAAGGTAGTTTTGAATAATTATTCATATGCATACACATTTAAAAACATATATTTTAAATATATCTATTACCTAACTATAATTACATATAAAAATAATATAATTATACATATTACATTATAAAATATATACAACATTTCATTTTACAGTAGAAGCACCTATCCCAGGAAACACACATAGTTCCAATCTAAAGTGGACCTTCTCTCAATATCATGATGTGATCAGCGTTTCAAATAATCTTACCAGCAGCAACCTTTACTTCATAAGTCTATACTCCACACATTCCTAACAAAGGATAAATTCACAGGAATGCTTGAAAACTGCTTTACATCCACCGCTTCCTGGCTAAATTTATTTCACTTTTTTTGACTTGGGCTTGTTAATTGTTATGTTTTATGATCCTACAGAATTTCTTAATATCTTGGTTATGTATTTTATTTTGGAAGCGACAGAAGAGGAATCTGTTTCATATACACCCAGAAAACTCAAGGATTCTTCTGTATCTGCTACAGTCTACTGCCTATTAAGGCAAGAAGCACTGTGAACATTATGCAATTCCTCAAGAATTATGGCATCACAATCTTAGGGGGAAAAACAACAATAACAACAAGCCCAAAGAAAAAAAACCCAAATATGTACAACATAAATAATTTTAAAACAATAAGATTCTACTTCTAACCAATTGCCTTTTAGTCCTTTAAATGAGCTGCACAAAACATGAGCTAATTAAGATTTAAATACAATCACTCAACTGAACTGGATTTTAATAGCAAAACTATGCATATTATGCTTGGCAAAAGAAGAGAAGGATCTAGTTTGGGGACCTCTTTGGTTTGTTTATTGAAACTGCACAACTACTTGATATCTCAGTATACCTAGTGATAAGGGTTGGCTGGTATGCATCTTGACAGTAAGCCTGGACCTTCTCCTGCTTTTATTCATCCAAAGGTTTGAAGTTTCTGAGCTGACACTGCTTCCCTGTCAGCAAGGAGGTAAAATAAGTGAGGTTTTGTATGAAAACAATCTGTCATGCAGATCTGGAACAGGAGAATCAAACAGGTCTTGTGTTCACTCAGTGATGACAAAAAGTAGAATTATTTGTAGTCAAAATTTTGTATTATCTTCTGTTTAAATATTTAAAGTTCCAGCATGTGATTTGAAATCTTATGTTTGCTTGCTCATCACAAGTGAATCAGAGATAATTCACATAAATCAGATGGGATTACAAGATCCTGGGTAATGTAATTTAAAAGTCCTCACTACTTCAGATTCAATGAAGAAAGGAAAAAAATAAGAGACAACAGATGCCAGCAGATATAAGGATGAGTTTATTTTTTAACTGTATCAGAAAAAAAAAAATCATTAACATGGCATTGGTCTGGTATTAAATCAGAACACTGATCTCAGAAACCCACTGACTCAAAAGAAGAGAAAGACTGAGCATGCAGACTAACCATCATTAGAGGGGAGGTATAATTTAAGCAATAGCATAAGAGAAACTATGTAGCCAACAAACATTAATTCCTTTGTTTGCTAAAATGTAGAGATAATGAAAAGCTTTGAATGACCTTGGAACCTCCCACCACCAAAAAGCCCAGAGCAAAGAAGGACTAACAGGATGCTGCTGGATCCATGGGTGGTGTTATTTTCTACTTGAAGTCTCTCTCTCTCCCCCCTCTCCTCTATTTCTAATTAACTGTTAAATAAAATCTGCACCATTGACTTTAGCATATGGTCTTGTTTGCACCTTAATTTGGGCAGAGGCTTCTCTCAATAATCAGATCTTAACAACACTATCGTATTTAATAGTGGCAAAATATCTTAATTACAAGATGTTATTAACCTTAGTAGAAAACTGATCCAGCAAACAGGTGCATAAACAATAAAAATAGACACCTTAATGATAAAATACACATATTTTTAGTTGTAGGTCTTGTTAGAAAAATTGTACATGATAAATTATGAAATCTCTTGATATATTACAGGAAGCATAACATTCTCCCTTTCATATATAAGGGAAAAAATTAATTCCTCAGCATCTTTATGACAGAATCAGCCTATCATCATTCAATTAAGTGCTGGAATTAGTACAAAATTCCCAAGCAGGACTCTTACCCCCATGAAGTCATTTAAGAGTCAGAAAAGGTGTTGGACACCTACTTCTCCTGGATTTGGAAATCTTTACATTTATAAACCCTGCCCTGAGCCTTTTCACTTTATGAAATACAAGTATACAATAAGAGTGATATGAGATACAAAACAATAAAATGATAGAAAGCCTGAAGGGGAATAACTTAGAGCAGACAGCAGGAATTATTTTAGTATGACAATTAGCTTGCAATGTATCATGAGCCATTTGTTAAAGGTTCTTGACTTCTAGGCACTGCAGAGTGCTGCACTGAAATTTATTAAAACCCCTGCATTTCAGTGGATGCAAAGTGCAAGACCAATGGCATGGGTAACCATATTACTACTAATACCAATAATAACCACATTACTATGCATGTTATTAGTCCCAAACTCACACACATGTTACATGCCAGATGTTCAAAGACCATTGAATGTCATGCAACTCACAACACCTCTAAAAATGAATATGAAAACTTGTGGAAATGACAGCACGTTGAATCCTGCCACAGAGAACTGTATGGGGCAATGATAGAAATGCTCCTCTCAGAAGAACTTTTCACAACCCTGTGCTTTGTGCCAACCTTGTATTGGTTTATCTTTGCTAGTGGAAGCAGTGAAAGCTTTGACTGCTCAAACTGCACATGGAATGTATGTGAATATTCAGGAACAAACTCTGCCCAGAGAGGTGGGATCTTAATGCTGTGGCAACATGATCGATCTTTTAATTTGCTACAGCCTGAACGGAAATGGAGTCCAAGCAAAAGGTCAGAACAGGCATTTTATATTCTGTGTTAAAGGAGGGGAGGAAAAAAATGTCTTTGAGGAGTAAAATAAGTAGCTAATGAGACACAGCACTGACAGCTGGAATTTAATAAGTGTCCACTTCACAAGTAAAATTGCTCTTACTAATTAAATACAGGTATCATACAAAGCTTCTGCTTAGAGCTATACTTCAAAATCCTTCTGTCAAGTAGGACTGAAGAAGTTTTACATAACAGGTAATATAAGGCTGAGTTTGCCTGGGAGGCTAGTCCGAAATGAAGAGGGTTAATTGAATAAAATTCACAATCCTTTCAGTGGTGAATAATTCCAAAGGGACTTGTTCAGACAGTAGCCTGGCATTACTGAAAAACAGACTGCAGCTAAAGAGTACTGTTATAAAGTCCACCAAAACCTGAGACACATAAAAAGTTTATTAGTCATTGCAGAAATAAAACACAAACAAAGTCTTTTTAGAGGGATTCAAAATTTTTATGCTCCAGGTCTGTAAGGACCATAAAACTCTACCTGAGAAAATTTTAAACAATCTTCTAATTAATCACAGGATTTTATCACCTCTCACAAGCTGTAAGTAAAACATTAACAGGGTAGGAGGAAGTACTCTTTGTACTAAGCATGATTCCAAACCCTGCTGACATAGCCCTCTAGATGAATCAGGTTACATAAAACTGAGATTATCATGGGTACTAGCACAAAGAATAGTGTTTCATATAGGGGACTGCATGCCCAAAAATAAAGGTATAAGTTTCTAAATTATTGGGAGGGTCTGAGACAGAAGAGTCTGACAGGTTTTCTGTAATTTGAGACTTTACCATCAAAATATGAGCACGTAACAGATCTTTCAATAACGAAACTTTTATCCCTGAAAACAGATTTTGATCATTACTTAATCAGCAGTCCAACAGAATATTGCTGGTATCACAAAAACAAAGCAGTTTAAGTATCTAGATGGTTGAATGTTTTTACCAGCTAGAGCCAACAATTTTGCATTTACTCAAGAATGTATAACAAAACCACACAGCTCTACACACTTCAGTGTAAAAGAGTACTGACTCTGCAATACCTGTTTTAACCTACCTCATAGTACATAGGCAGATCCTTAGCCTTTTTTCCCTTTTGACGCCCAGATTCTGTGATCTACAAGTGAATAAAGCATTCATTACCTAAAGTACTTTACTCATTATTTCCTTTTGCAAACACTACACTCACACTCCAAAACAGTAAGGAATCATCTTATGGCAACCCTGTACCTTAGGGAGAGAGTTTTTTGATCAGCACCTTGAAGAAAAGTCTGTAACAAAACTTCATTTACAGGGAGTAGAGCAGCTTATACCATACATTTTTCTTTTTCCATTTTAACTCCTATGAATTAGAGCAATGAAACTGGTAAGAAGAGAGTAAGTCCTATGAGGAGTGGATGAGGGAGCTGGGACTGTTTAGTCTGGAGAAATCCACTTCTCAGGGGCGACCTTATCACTTACTACAACTCCCTGAAAGGAGGTTGTATCAAGGTGGGGATCAGCCTCACCTCCCAGGCAACAAGTGACAGGACAAGATGACATGGCCTCGAGCTATGCCAGGACAGGTTTAAGTTGGTTGTCAAGCACTAGAATGGGCTGCCCAGTGAGGTGGCAAGTCACCATCCCTGGAAGTGTTCAAGAAATCACTAGATGTGTCACTTAGTGCTGTGCTTTAGTTGATAAGGTGGTGTTCAAAGGTTGCACTAGATGATCTCAAATATATTTTCCAACCTTTATGTTTCTATGCATTAGTGTAATTTTTGAAACTTCCACAGAGCAGTTTATCATTACCACAGACCAAAGAAGGTAGGATCTAGAAGTGACATCTACAGTTTGGTTCATTGTTAAAAGTTACTTTCTTGAAATACCTGTTTGTAAATGTCTTCATGGGTTACCACACTGAAGAGTCTTCTCAGTGGCACCTGCACAGCAAGAGCCAGGGCCTGGGTGTGAATTTCATCTTCAATCTTGGCCCCAACAACGAAAGAGATGCTAGGCTTCCAGTCATCCTACATCCCAAAATAAAATATTTAAGGTATTAAAAGTCATGGTAACAAAAGTCCTCTGCAGTTTCAAAGAGTAATCTTGTAGAGACGGCTTTATGTCACTTTAAGACATATTAAACATCACTATATTGATCACTGAAATTGCATGCAACTCGAAAAAGCCCCTATTACTTTGTCCCAATTCTTTCTGCCATCAGATGGCAGCATTATGCTACGGAAAACACAAATGCCTACAAACAGCCTTAAGCCCTTTCACACACAAATGATGCATTAGCATCTCACAAAGATGTACTAGCTTTAAAATGGCATTTGCAGATTTGACAGTTCAGGCAGCAAACAAGAAGTGAATTTTGAATATATGTATTATTGTGATTATTTGATGTAGAAAAAAATTAGCAATTTTCAGCTCCCTCATCCTGAGAATTAGATAATGCCCAGATACTATTTTCTGTACATCGTAGCATTATTTTTATGATGTTTCATAAAAGTATATTTATGCATAGTATGGCTCTTGCATGGTTTTACTAAATATTCTGAATCAATAAAAATTACTTACCAATGGCAAGTTGTACACTATAATATTGGTAAGTTAAAAGCACAAGCCGTTTTCAAACATTTGCAGCAGTATGCACATTATTGTAGTATAAAAAATTTTTTTCAGCATGAAAAAATGCAGAACAAGAGAAGACTGGAAGACTTTCTTTAGTGATGTACATCCACATAAGCTTAAAAAATATGTAACTTAAGCAACTTTTACTGGTTAGCATCTTTCACATTCCTATTGGAATCCCTTTCAGTCGCTATCTCCAGCAATTCTACATCTCAGTCTTGAGTATTCTTTATCAGCATTAGTGGTGGCTGAACTAGGACCATTTGTAATGGTTGTGATGTACAGGAATCACCAATTTTTTTTTTTTTTCAATGCATGTCTGCATGTGTAAACTGCAAGGTTACCAATGCAGCTGCATAAAGGTAAACATGGAAAGGGATTCAGTCAGATCAAGGCAGTTCCAGGCCAGTGACATTAATCAGAGCAGAGTCACAGTCCAGTGTGCATCACAGCAAGGAAAGATTTTAATAGACTTAAGATAGGGTGGTGACTTTAGTATATTGAATATCTTAATATCTTTATACTACGTACAAAGTCCTTGTAGAACAGGAACAAAACCTGAGCTGAGTTATGGTAAAGTGAGGAAAAGGACCATTCTAAAAAAGAAGACTCAGATGGTAAGAGAAGCATCTTCTTCCAGTTTTATAGTACACTTCTTCATTTGCTCCTTTTCTTAGCTGGTAAAAAGCCTACCCAAATGTCTGCAATTTGAATAACTGATGGCTTGGGATGGGAGAAAGCCACAGCTGACTTAAGTTTCAAAACAGTGTATGTTTGTATGGCAGGAAACAGTTTGTCAAACACTCACGGTAACAAAGGGTAACATCACATGATATGCCCCATTTTTCTAACCACAGAATATTCAGAAAAAGAAAAACGATGTAAAGATCACCTTGGTCATTAAGTGAAACTGCAAGTAGCTACAGATCAGATAACTAATCCAAAGGGATGCCTACAACTCCACACATCATGAACTTCCTTGATGGTTTATTGCAGCACAAAATAAACCTCAAGTTTTTAAAATTATGAAATGCTATAGAGATCAAGCATATCACTGATGCTCTAGGAGCATGCAAACATGGTGGAATTTATGAGTGTCCAACTGCACTGGGGAAGCAGACACTGCTCACTGGAGAAGTGGCAGTAGGAGTGGGGACTGCATCAAGTACACTGAATTTCATTTTGCTCTTTGAAGTCTTTCTGCCTAAAGCTGCAAGATAGCTGCTGGTGCACAGCACTGTGAAAGAGCTCTAGGTATTCCAATATTGTCAACATGCACAGGAGTTGCAGCTAATCTGGATTAAAGCTATCACTGTATATCTGACCAGAGCTGGACAGTAAAACTTCAGCATTCTTTGAACAGGAAGTATTTAGATGCCCACGCTTGTGTGGAAATGCATAATTTTCTAGACTCTCAGAAGTGAGATTGAAATGCTCTCATGTGGCAGTATCCTAGTGTTCCCAGTGCTGACCAGCACACACGGAATCTTTAGAATAACCATCTACCTGTGGCATGAGCTAATGGAGCAGCTGTTATCACTACACTGCCCACTTCAGGGAGGACCACCAAGAGAGGGAAAGAAGGGCCAGTAAGTCTCACAGAGAGATGCCAACAGCTCAAGAGCAGCAAGAATCAGGAATGTCAGGTTCTACTCAGGATCCTACGGTAAGCATGGTCCAGCAGCAATACAGAGCTTACTCCCACAACTTCCTGCAGTTCTTCACAAATATAAAAAATATCTATCAGAGAGTTCTAAAGCCCTGCCTATGTCTTCTTTAGTTCCTCCTTAAAACATACTGATAGCTTGCTGCCCACAAATTAAACCTGCTTAGCACTGATTAATAACACTGTGGAATATAACAATGTCTGTGGAACCTGCCTTCCTTATTGTCCTCTCCTTATTTAGTTTTCCACCTCTTGGTCACAACTGTTCCTAGTTAATTTCTCCTTCCTTTTCCACTCTTTGTTTCTGAGTTACACCACTTGTCTTATTGTTTCCCCCCCCGTGACTTGCTCCCCAGCTCTTGTCCTCTGTCTCCTTGTTCAGCTAGTCTCCAGTTTCATTATCTGATCCCACTTCAAGATTTCTCCATCCTCAGATTCCTTCTCCAAATTCTTATTCTCTAGCCCATATAATTCCCAGGCTTTTTCAGAGTTATGTTGAGCAATGAGACCCTCCTTCACAAAAGTACTATAAGCCTTTCTAAGAAAAGAGAATTTTCCTTGTTTCCACTGTGGTGCCCTCCTTCCCAGCAGCCTGTGATAAAGCACCAAAGCAAAATATCAGGGTAGGTCCTGTTTGTGAAAAATGAGTATTTAAAAAAACACAACAGGACTTATGCAAACAAAATTATCCAACTCCAGTTTTTTGTTATCCAAGAAGAAATTATCATCAGTGGGCCACATCTTCCACTGAAAACAATCTGCTTCAAAGAAACAAGGTGATAAAGCTGCTCCATGGAATAACTATATTACGTATGGAATATTTATACTATAGGCAAACCAGCAAACCATTGGCTAATATATTAAAATAAAATACATGGAATGAGCCTCTACAAGATAAATGAACTGGCAGCGAAAGTTATAACCTTACTTAATTCTACAGAAGTATATGCAGATCAATACAAGGTCTTTTGCACAAAAATTTAAGTATTATTAGAGACAGCATATACCTCCCTAGTGCTAAATGAAGAAAAGAAACTGCTTTTCTTTAAAAAGTGCAACACCTAGGAATGGGAGCTGGAAGTAGCTCGTAAATATTCAAAGTAGCTACACACATCTTCACAGCCAATAATGATCCAGACTTCCTGGAGTCATTAATAGCATGTCATCTATTTCTAGACTGACCGGTTCTGAAGCCCTTAAAGATAATTTTTCAGAAAAGCTGCACACTGAGAACATGAAGTCAATAGTCAATGTGCAGCATAAATACACAGCTTAAGGTGTTTAATTGATTAGACTATTTTCTGAGGTTAAAAATCTAATATTTTTGCAATACTGCCTTTATATTATCGATCCTGTAACAGTATCCTTAATGTTCAAGGCACTGAAAGGACGGAGAAGAAACAGACCCTGCTTCTACAGCTCACCACCTAAAATCACAACATAAAAATGTGAAGGAAAAGTAGTAAAATGTATATGGTTACTCTAAAAATATTTTCTCCCTCAATATACAACTGGTCCTCTACTTAGTTTTATTCTTTCAAATGTTATTGTAGTATGAAGGCTTGAGAAAGGATCTGAAAGAGGATAGATTAGTGACCCTAAGGCTACCTCAAATGACATTCCCAGCTTAATGAACAGGATAGAAAAAACCATAAAAATAACTACTGGAAAATCATGGAAACAGTCTAGGGAGGTTGCCACCAAGAATTTAACATGCGCACTACAAACTGCACAAAAGAAGACCAAAATGCAGGGAGCAGATATCCCACAGAATCAACAATGCTGGTTCAAATGTGAATTTAAAAAAAACCAACCCTGAAGCTGGAAATGTGGCATTGGCAACTGAATATTGCTTAAGCAATCTGAAACAAACTCCAATTAAGGGCAGGTCAGATCACTTTCACTGGAAAACATCCAGTGACAACCATTGCTACAAATGACAATGTCCTGGTTTTAAAACTCCTGGCCATGTCAAGAGTTTAAATGCACCGAAGTCTCTTGGTGTTAGAAATAATCATCTGTGTGGGAAACATCTATGTCCCTCAGTTGGAGAGGCTCCAAATCCGCAAGATCAACCTAATTCTGGAAGCTCCATGTAAGCAGCAAATGGCTGTTCAAAATCCCTGCTTTCACAAAACACAGAAGGTGCCTCATCTTTTCATGATTTTGCTCTCAAGGCTCCATTGTGTTCCTCTGTAATGTGATTTTTCCCAGCTCTTAAAAGCCAGTACACATAGCCTGTATATCTTCATCACAGCAGTACTGGAATAGCATAGGTATGTTAAGAAAATATCTAACTTTAATTCACATTGAAAAAAAAAAAAACAGATGTAGCACGCCACTATTTTCTTCCTTTTTATACATATCTTGTTTTCTCTGCTTCATTTCCTAGACACAAAAGGCCAGCTGTTCTAGGGAAGACAGTTGAACAAGTCAGGTATATTGTTTATTTTTTCAGTACCAGTTTCTAGATCTCTTTGGCCAAGAAAAGCATCAAGCAGCCATCTTACCCTCCTCCTATTTCCAGACAATTTGGGTATATATAATTTTATTTTTCTGGTACTTACTTTGTGGGGTTTATTGGTTTTTTGTTTGGTTGCTTTTTACTTGTTTGTTTGGGTTTTTTTTTCTCTTAGGACAACAACCAGTAAGGTCATTTCATTACAGCAGAATTTCAAATTTACCTCTAAGGGCTGAGAAGAAACATTTGAAAACTCAAACTCAAAACATCTGAGCATCAAACATATTAGTAATTTATGAACAATTAGAGTAGTAACAACTCTAGCACTCTTTACTTTCAACAATGAGCGAGCTTGTAAACCAGTAAATACAACTGGCATTACTCTGAAAGGTTGCTTATCAGGAGTGTTGTAGCCTTAAGGCTACATCGCTGCTTGGAAATCTTCAGACCCACTTTCACTGCTGACGACACACCCACATTTGCTAATGCCTTTTGCTCTTAAGAGCCTGAGCTTTTGCTGTTCAACATGGGCAAGTGAGAGAATATCAAAGCTCAAGAGAGCGTTAATTTTTCCCTGAAGAGGAAGCAGTATGAATAGCAAAGAAAAGTGGAGCCATCCTATTCAGAACATTTTTAGAGGTTTCACAAGATTTTAAGTTCAATTTTCAGGCCCTAAAATGCTAATGAAAAGAGAGAAATCATACAGATGGAAAGTCAGCACAGAACATGCTTCCTGCTGCTATGCTTAGTTATATAGGTTAATAAGAACAAATAATAAATGACAGTTATTTCAATTAAGGGCTCTATTTGCCCAGAATTCACCATTCATTTAGCAAATATTGCCCTTTAGCTACTTAACACATGCAAAGTTTAAAACTACTTAAGAATCTTAATTTATATTTTGCAATTTAATTCTGTAGCGAGCCCAACCAAAATAGATGATAAATATCTGAAGGCAAATACAGTTTGCAACTCCACGTTCTTCTGCATAGTACATTACAAACAAGAAAGATATACATAATGTGAGGCTCTGGAAAATCCATATTTCCTCTGTATGTATTTTTAAGTTGTGTGTTTGCCAGTTTTCACAGTGCATTTAGTAAAAGCTATTATTTGGTTAGTAAATACCATTTAAATAATATTTTAGTTAGTATACCTGTTCATAAAAATCTTAACAGCACGGGTAAAATGCTTTTCATAGATTGAACTAATAAAATAGTGTAAGTCATAAACACATTAAAATATGACATTTCACCACTTGGTCTATCTGGTACAATTTAAAACCAGATAAAGCAAATTCCCTTTGCCTTCAATAAAGGGAAAGAATATTTTTCAAATTGATACAAGCAGATCTAAAAATTCTTTACATATGAATTATGAGGAGAGACATTTATTTACTTGATAGGAGCTCCTGTCATCTCCCAAATAATTTCCAATTCATATGGTATTTCATATACAATATTGAAGACAAGTAAGAAATGAGTTTTGTGCACTATGTCTGGCGAGATCTAAAATTCAAGCTGTTCAACACTCTCTTTTACAGACTGCTTTCAGCTCCTGAGCTTTATATACTTGAGTTTAAACTTGGTATGTTGCCTGATTACTGGGGTAAGGTGGGTGGGGGAGGGAAAGTGTGGTTAGACTATTTGCAGAATGAGATTTGATTTTAAAAAATCATGTTTATCCTTTAATAAAAACCCCTATGTGATTAAGTAGTTAAGATATTCAATGCTCTCTGTGTTCAAGAGGAAGGAATTAAATTTGGCAGCAGAGCCGTACTTGTGTCAAAGATTTGCTTTTACAGAGCATGTTTATTTACATTATGTACACCCACATTTGGCCACACTTGATGAATCTTGATTCACACATGCTCAGGAGAGATTTGCTGGCATTTGACAGTTTTGCACTGAGTGTGCTCTTGCCCATGACTCTAAGAGCTGAATAAGAACACTCCTGCAGTAAGAAATTTCAGTGGCTGCCCAGCATCTCAGAAGCCTGAGTTCAAGCTTACTGCAGCAAGGGGACAGTTTTTCCCAAGGGGACAGTTTTTCCCAACTTCCCAGGGCTCTGTGAACAGCATGGCAGAGAAAGTGAAATTAGCTTCACTGGAACAGAAAGCAGTTAGACGGTACCAGAATTATGGAAACAAGGAATCTCAAGTCAGCCCCCATGAGTACAGGAATTATGATAATCTTTAATTAGTTGACCACATACCTTTCCCTACAGAATTCTTGCCCCATTCAGTGAACATTCAACTTTTTTTTTTTTTTCATCTGCCTCAGTGAGTGGTCCAGAATAATACCAACTTTGACATTTCCTAACTTTTGAGCATTTTATTTCCTACCTTTAAAAATACTTCAATATAATGGTTTGCATTTAAGAAATGTAATAAACTACATTAGAGGCAGCAGAGCATACAAAGCACCTTGTTCAGTGAATTCACTGCACAGTATCCACAGCCACAATAAACACCACCATAAAAAAACCTAATCACTAATTGGCACCTTGCTAGTAAGCACTGGAGGAAGACCAGAAACAGAGAAGGTGCTGGAGACTGAACCTTCACCCCATTCTTATGCTTCAGGGACGTTTCCCAAGGGTAGGGACAAGATTCACAAGTAAGAAAGGGCTCACGCATCTTAGAAGTCTACTGAAAAATCTGTGTTCTAGGGAAAAATGGGAAACAACAGCCTAAGCAACTCAAAAAGTGATCTTGTTTGGCTAATTGTATTATATGGTTACTACCAAATAAAAGTAAAAGCAAGTAAATATTTAAGAGATTTTTGGACATCTGTGGCTTTTTCAGGAAAAGCAATTAACCAATTTAAAAGCCTCCTCCTGAATTAAAAGTTCCTCAAGTTCCTCATATTTTACCAGTGCTGCTGGTATATTAAAAGAAAAAAAAAAAAAACCAAAACAAAACCAATAAAACACAAACCCATGTCAGCTAAAACAAAAAAAAAAAAAAACCAAAACAAAACCAATAAAACACAAACCCGTGTCAGCCATGTCAGCTAAAACAAAAAAAAAAAAAAAAAAAAAAAAAGGCTTTTTTTTTTTTTTTTAATAGGGCACAACAGGAATCCAGAAAACAAGGAAACCACAGAAGCAATTTGTCTCACTTGCAGAAGCCGTGCTAGATAAATACATGTGAGATAAATATTATTGTTTGCTAAACTACCACCCTATTTTGAAACTAAATTCTCTCCTGCAAGTCAAGATTTATGAGAATTACATTGCTTACACAGAACCTGGAAATCTAAATATGCCTTTAGATCCTCACACTCTGTAAAAGAAAAAAAAAAAAATAAAGAGAAAAAAAGTGCCTTTTAGCTGCACACACTCGGGCAGGAAAATTACAGCCTCACATTTTCAACGCTACAGTTAATGCTGTGTCAGCACCTCCATCAAACCTCGTTGTTCAGCAGTTTATAAAAAGTTCACTCCGAGCCGAAACTTGGCACCCAGGGCCCAGAAAGCAAAGTGCCGAGGCGAGGAGGAGCAAAGAAACCCGCAGGGCCACGCTCGGTGGCGGGGGGCAAAGGAGCAGGGGGGCTCCGCCGCACATCGGGACCATTCACGGCCCTGCCCGGGGCCCCCCTGCAGCCCCCGGGCCGGGGGAGCGGCCCGAGCCGCCTGCAGCCAGCTGCCCACTTCCCCCCGCGCCGCCGGCTCTGCCCCTCGGCTGCCTTCACCTCCTCGAGGCGGGCGGACACCAGCGCGGGCTCCCAGGTCGGCAGCCCGGACGCCGCCGTCTCCCTGCCGGACTTGGGTTGCTTGGGGCCCATGGCGGTGCGGCGGCGGCAGCGGCAGCGGCAGCGGCAGCACCGACGGCCTCGCGCGTCGCCCCGGAGATGGCGGCCGCGGGGGGAGCCGGCCCGCCCGGGGAGCGCTGGGCCCGGCCGGGGCAGCCGCCCGCAGCATCGCTCCGACGGGGAAAGGCTGGGGGAGCTGGGGCTGCTCAGCCTCGGGACACATCACCAGTGTCTGTAAATATCTAGAGGGGGTGTCAGAGCATGAAGCCGGCTCTGCTTGGTGATGCCAAGCCACAGGACAAGAGGCAGCGGGCAGAAAGTGATGCCCAGGAAGTTGCACCTGAATGTGAGTGCGAACTTTGCTGTGCCGGTGGCCGCACACTGAAGCAGGTTGCCAGGAGAGGTTGTGGAGTCTCACTCTCTGGAGATAGGCAAGAACCATCTGGATGCAACTCTGTGCCATGGGAGGTTGGACCAGATGATCCACTGTGGTTCCTTCTAACCCAATGGATTCTGTGCATTCTCTTGGGGCTTTTGGGTACTTCCATTGTCATTTTTTGAGACAACGAGTGGCCTCCATCACGGCCACCCGAAGGAGAAGCCTCATCAAGGCTGCGTGGGTAGTTCTGGGGTGACACACGCTCACAGGGACATCAAGTGACACATCTCATCCCCAGGACACCAAGTGACACATCTCATCCCCAGGGCCAGATGGCAGCACCCGGCGTGCCCCTGAGGAGGGTGAAGGTGCAAGCTCAGGCCCGGTGCTGGAGCGTGACTCGAGCGGCGAGGCAGGGGGCACGCAGGTGTGGGCAGCCAGGCCAGCTCCCAGGCCCAAGCGGCTCTCCAAATACTACCATATGTTACGGCACTGGGACCAGAAGGGGAGAGGGAGGCACTGTTGGGAGAAAACAGGAGAGCTGCCAAGATAAAGAATTCATTACAGAGGAGTCATGTCGTGATCTCACACTGGAGACGAGTGAAATATTCTGTGTGATTTAACATTTGGTGAAAATACCCCAAACCACATGCTGCCCTTCCCCCACCCCCTTATGCCGACCGGCGTTGCTCAGAGCCTCCAAATCTTTATTTTATTTTCGTCAGAGCTTAAAACCCTGCTGTGCAGTGTGTTACTGCCTTAGTCAGGATTTCATTCTGGGATGATACTAACCTGGTGTGTGTGCTGTATAAAACACCTTTCATTATGCAGCTTTAGTGAAGGAATAGGAATTTATCTTCGTAGGGGATGTAACAGGCAAATCTCTCATCTTTTTAATTTGCAGAAAGGTATCTTCCCAGCATGTCTAAATAGTGATACAGTTGATAACATGGGAAAGCTGCACAGTAGATTTGCCAACAGCCATTAACATTTGCTCCCAACCCATCTCTTGGCTGGTATCCATTTTTCTTTTTTTGAGTTTTCCTTTTATCGTCCACAAAAACAAAACAAAACAACAACAACAACAACAACAAAAAACCAATCAGGCTTCACTTGTTCAAAGAAACAGGCTGCATGACATTCCCAGCATATTCACTAAAGTCTTGGGTACGCAGCCTGTGTCCGCAGAGGTGCACTGACAAGAGTATGGAAAAGAGAAATGGGACAGGATCAGCTGATGTGGCAGAGCAATAAAGAGGTTTGGGGTCGAATGCACAGATAATGTTGCTAAATGTCCTAAATATGAACCACCCTTCAGATTTTTCATGGCTCAGTTTTCAGGAATAAATATAAATTTCAGGAGGAGTGACAGGAGAGGGTTGTGCACCCAGATCTTGATGGTGTGGCTGGAATGTGCATTTCCCTGAATTTGGTGGGAAATGATAACTGTTTAATTATGCCCATACTTTGATCTGTATGCTCAGATCATTGGAAGGTTAAAAACCAGAGAAAGTGATGTTAGCCAGCCAACAGCTCTGAGAACATAAACAGTAGCTGTGAGAACCATGAAGTGGCCTTTTTGTATCTACTGTGGGTTTGCCTGATGCATGAGGACTATTTAAGGGAAATGGTTTTGTTCTGCTTGCCACCTTAGTAAATGCATCTTGATAACTTGTTTATTGTTGGATGCCGTGGCAGATAGCAAGTCCAGCTGAAGTAGGACTGCTGATCACTAGGACTTTATACCAGTTCATTTAAAATTACCTTCACCACTCTCACAAAAAAAGGAGAGGAAGAAATTGTATTTATGCTCTATTACAAAGGGTTGTAGTGTATAAAATGGGCTATCCATCAGTGAAGTCAGCTGAAGACATGTCCTGTTTGGCTGCTTGTCCCTGTCCATTTTGTTGTGCTGCCAAAGATGCTTGTAGGCCAAGCTGTGAACCAGATCACTGAAAGCCCCTTGGTTAAATTGTGAAACAGACAGACAAATCAGAATTACTGGGAAACTACAGCCTTTGTTTCCTCCAAATGGTCTGGACTGCACAACACCCAGCTGCATGTTTTGCAGCTGAGCCATCTGAAAAACTTCAGCTTCCTTCTGATAACTAAAATATGAAGCTGCTGCAATCTCAAAACTTGTATTAGCAAACCTGAATGTAATTCAGCTATACTGATAAGCCTCAGGTTAGAGGAATAGGCAAATTTCAGATTCAGAGAGACAGTATGCAGTTTGTGGTACCTTCACAGAAAACAGGAATGTGCAGATGTAAGCTGGACATTTCCAAGAAATGAAATATGGTCTAGTGCAAGAGTTAATGGGACTATCTGTGATGACTTTGTGCGTGACAGGAATATTTATGGTGAGATTTTCAGGGAGAGTGGCAACCTAAAAATGCCAAGATCAGCCTTTAATTTTTTGCCTTATTAAGAAACACCACTTATATGTGAATACATGTGTGGAGTAAACTAAGGCATGAATTTACAGTACACTTGCAATTCTGAATAATACTCTGTGTAAATAAAGCGTAGCTCACCTTTTCCTGGGAGACAGGTTAACAGTCCTGTGTGTTGTGAGTTTATTCAGCAGGGTAAGAAAGCATCCATGGTTAATACTGGAGTATTATTATTACACTACAGTTTTGTAGTGTACTGTGGAGTAGCTAGACACAATAACGTTTGCATGCCCACACTTTTCGTAGTAGTATAGAAGCAGTGTTTAAAAATGAGGTATACTCTTTATCTCCTTGAGGAAGAGAAGGAACATTGGTTGCCTTTTCTTTTAGGGCAACTTAAAGAACATTTGCACTTCCTTGTTCTTCAGTAAAGTGTGGGGAGTGGAAAGGCATTACTAGTTTTACATGTCAGTTTTTCTCTACTTGATATTTTCTGAAAGACTGTGGCTGTCTAAAGAACCAGTAAAGGTTTTGACTCTTATTAATTAAAGCCTGATTAACTGAGAGGGGAATTAATTTTAATCCTGCTTGTTTTGTTTTAAAAATGTGCTTATTTTAAATTCTTGAAAATTATTTGGAAAAAAATATCTTTTCAGTAAGAACCATCACCTTCTCAGCTTTAGTTGGGAAGTAAGCAGAATCTTTTGCTTGAGTCCTTAAGAAAACACTTAATTTAAATCACAACATTTAAATCTTATGAAAGCTTTATACTGCTTTCATAAGATTTAAATGTTGCTGAAACAGGGAGGCTTCCTGAATTATGGCCTCAGAAGGCTGTTTCTGTTTTCTAAAACTGGCCAGAAAAGTTGTCTTAAACAGCTAACATGGCCCTCAGCACTGCTAAGGAAACAGCCTTTCATCCTCCTTATATTTCTAAAAGAAGAAGAAAGGTATTAAGAAAAAAGAAAAAAGCACACTTCCTCCCCCTTAACCCCCCCACCCCCCCAAGAGAACACTGTTCAGTCCTTTTTCCCCTCAGAAAGGAAGAAAGGGAGGAACATAAAACTCATTTTGCTTTCCTTTCCAGTTTCATAGTACTGCAGCATCTGGGCTGGGAACAGCTTTTGCTTGAAGTTTGCAACCCCCAGGACACAAGTGTCTCACAAGTTACACAGATTTGACAGCTATAGCATGTGTTACCAAAGCCTCCCTGAACTCTGGCATACCAAGCTGGATGTAGGAGGTCTTTGCCTACAGTTGCTGCCCTGGCCACCAAATGATTCTTTATAATTTATTTCTTAGTCTCTAAATTTGTTTATGTAATTTGCATAAAGCTTCCCACATGGGCTGAATTGGCCCTGTGGATGTGGACCAAGTATCTGTTTTGGCTTTGGGATCTAGAAAGGTTATTTCTACATCAGTAAATTGTAAGTGCATGTGCCCTGAAAGGGGTAAAGGTTAAGCCAAGTATAGATATATTAACACATTCCCCTTCTGAATATGACATGGTGCTCTTCTTATTGTAGTGCCAAAGGTAAGTAACTTCTTCATTAGACTGAGTTCTAATTATGAGACAATAAAACAACCTCTCCTTCTCAGACTGTAATGGGCCTTCCCGATAAAATAAGGGTTGCTAGATGTTTGCTGAGCTGTGAGAACTTGCAGGGATGGTTAGAGGGAAAGGGAACAGCCGGATTGTAAAGACAATGCAATTCAGACAAGTCCATCCACCACCTGGCAGGGCCTGCCCTCCAGTGCTTGGCCACTCTATGCACGCTCTAGGCCTTACCTATTTAAGCCGGTCCATCTAATAACGTGGCCAAAAGAAAAGCAAGTAGTAGATACTCCCTTCTCCCTCCAGCTCTTGCATTTAGTGGGTGTGTGGCCAGTCAGTGGTCTTTTCTCTTCACTCAAATGTTTCCAGCCACACTGAGTTACAAGTGTTTGTAGCCTCTGTTGTTTATCACAAGTATAACATACAGAACATATCAAACTTTCTGTATATAAACACATTTACATTTAAGAGTCTCCACCAACTTTGTTTTACCAGGAAAAAATCTCAAAACTTGCAAGGCCCTGTATTTAATTTTGGAAAAGATGCTTTCTTAGTATGCTCTCCCACGTGCATGCATATGCAAGGAGAATGTTTTTTCCTTTCTGTAGCAAATGGCATAAGGATTCCTGGCAAAGCTCAAAATGAAATCCATTATCATCTGTCAGTAAAATGACTTCCAAATTCCAGCTGGATGCTGTGCAACAGTCTCTTTAAAGATAGAGTCCTGCATTTGCTATTGTAGTTCTACTGTCTCTAGGTAACTGAATTTTGGAAGTAGACCAGTGCTAACAGCCAGCAAAAAAAATCCAAATTCACGTACCTCAGGTTTTATTCCTGATCGTTTCCAAAACGTCACAAGTTTTTATATATCTCCTTAAAGGAAGAAATCCAAAGAAGACATTCTCCCAGTCTTCCAGAAAGCCAAACTCCCCTTCTCCACTCAATTCTCTAGCATTTTCAAATTCTGCATCATTGTATGCTTTCTTCTGGCACAAAAGGAGTAGTTTCCCTAAGATTATAAAGTCTTTCATGGAGATCTGCTTCTGTAGCAGTGCTTACTTCTACCACCATCCAGAAAGGGTGACTTGCACAGTAGTGCTGAGCACTAACTGCTAACATTTCTCAACAGCCAAACAAAGCAAAGTCTAAATAAGTAGGATTTGAAATATTATGCCATTACTGGTGAAAAAAAAAAGTTTCTAATCCATTAAAAACAAACATTAGCACCATAGAGGATAAATAGACTTGAGTTTGTATGTCAGAGTTTGCAATGAAAATATTTATGAAAAGAGGTGGAAAGACATGTGTGTTTATTTTTTTGAAAAACAAGATATTATTTTTAAAAAGTGTAAGCTCTACTAGAATTGGAGTAACTTAATGGCTAGGGATATCTTCTTTGGCCTTGGTAGTCTCATTCAGTGAACTTTTAGTTTTTAGCTGGATTTTCTTAAGGTGATGTCTAATGGCAGAACAACTAAATTGCCACATTATAGACTATACTGAAACTGTTGCTTTGACTTTATTTCCCCCTCATTTCTTTCTCTTTTTACTGAGCATATACACCCCCA